GGGACAGGAAAAAAAGAGTATCATCTTCATCATAAACAACACTTCACAACATGAACACAGAACACCTCGTGAATTAGCAGTAAACCCAAAACAACAACAAAAACACAAAAGAGCTTTATTCCAATTTACTTAGACAGCATAACATATTAATTGATACGATATTATACAGTACAGTATCGTTACAACTGGAATGAATGTACCCATAGCTTTTTATAGAATCAGGCTAAGGATCTATGTAAATAATCTAAAATATTATAACAATAGAGTAAAATAGTGTTATTACTAGGGCTGTCAAACGATTACAATTTTTAATCAGATTAATCACAGCTTAAAATTATTTAATCATGATTAATAACCATTACGAACTATGGACCAAAACATGCCTTATATTAGTTTAGTTGTGTGTGTGAATGAAAGAATAAATGCAAGAAGGAGACAGATATAATCCATTTAACATAAAGTATTATGTTAGAATTACTGTTTCCTGTGTGTCAAAATGAAGACAGTCCCACTATCAACATCAACGTGAGGGAGTATTTCATACTGTTGGATTCTATCAACACAGGGGGGGGGTTGGGGCAGAACCGGAGCTCTGTCGTCGGTGATCTAACCGCTCTGGAAAAGCTCACAAAGTACGTCGGTACGCAAATGCGCTTTGTGACACAAGTGACGGTATACGCTTTCAAGAATTACGCACATAACCTGCGTACCAGTTATGTGCACCCTGTACAATACAGCAAAAGTATTCTCCGTCGGGACTTACTGCAACAAACCACGACAGTTATCTTGATTCTGATTGGCCAGAAGACATTATCAAGATGTTTCCTATTGAGCAAGACGATCACTAACGTACAAAAGTTTCCAAATCCGTTTCTGGTCTTCGGTAATTTCTCAGCAAGTGGTACTGATTCAATCTTACATAACGCTGTTCTGCGCAAATTCTCGGGGAGTTGGCGGACTTTATTTGCTTACTTTAACATCATTTTCATGATGGGTCTACACAGCCATTTCTTGTATGGGTGTAGCCCTACCCCAGCCATACCCTGGCCTGCCACTTGATGGGATGTATGGGGCGGTGCCATTCTGCACATGCGTAATAAATGCATTTAATATTTTAACGCAATTAATTCAAAATTTAATGTACCGATTTGCCGTAATCTTTGCGATATATCTTGTGTAACACATATAGGTATTACGCGCAAGCATCGATAGTTTTTTTTGGTCTATTCACCAGAGTGGCTCATCAAGGATATCTTCGTGATGAATCAGTTGTTACTTTACACATACTTACCCCCCAGAGCCATGTTATAATCAGACTACAGGCTGGAGGCAGAGATTTTTTATTTGTTGGACATCAACCATGCGTCACATGGGTATGTCGCAAATAAAAAGCGTTGTATAACTCAGGTTTGTATAGAATGAAATATTCTATCCACATGATCCACAGGCATTGATTCTGAATGAAGGGTAGTAACGATTGACAGCGACTATGTGATGTAATGGCACTACTAGACAGGAAGCCTCTCGTTGGCAAGAATCGTTGATGGTACAGCGCTACCTGCGAGGTGTACAATTATGAGAGCCATCTAATCTATTTAATTTAGATGAATGGATACAGTATAGCAGTTAGAAACACAAGTAATCATCAATTGCGCCCAGACAATTGAGAGCTATCTAGTGCAAGGAACAGCGTCGCCACCTAATAAAACCACTGCGGTGCATCACTAGTTTGGACGCTATCGCAAGGAGATGGGCTGAGAGAGAGTAGGACTATCTGACTACTCAGTCCCATTCCGTGAAAGGAAAGGGCGATCACGCACTCTGCAAGACATGCGATAGAATACAAGGAGGTGAGAGAGTACGAAACAATGCAAGGAGGCGCGCGCTCGGCGAGCACCACCCTGAGGAGTGCGCGCCGCGCGAAGAACAACCTGACGCCTCAGACGTCTATGCTGTACAGGTGCACCAAGTCTCGAGCACATAGTGCCACTTGTCAAATACGAAACCAGGAAACGCGCTGCTATCTGCGAAAACACGTAAGGCATGATACCTGCTTCTGCAATAGAGGAAGAAGACGGAAGCTAGGAACTAGATCAGTTCACGAGAATCACAGACACATAAAGCAGACTCCCTTTTGTTCGCCAGCAAGTGCATATGGTTCTTCTCCACCAGGGAAGGGTGGCATAGGTGTCCAGCTGGCCGACCCTCCTCCAGCAGGCTGAGGCAGGAGCGTCAGCGTGGGCCGAGTCGTTCAACAGGTGGAACATGAGGCTGTGGCCCGGGCGCTTGTGGCCGCAGCTGCTCGCCCTGTAGCTCCACTATCTCCTGGACAAAGTCTGAGGGCTGGGGCTCGTAGTCACGCAGCAGCTTGTGGAACACCTCCAGCACAGCGTCAGCAACTCCCACTGAGAGACACAGCAAGGGGAGACAAGTGAGTATGTGTAGTTCAAAGAGCATACATGCATCACATGTTAAGAGACTGGGTGAGCTCTTTACCTTTCTCAGTCTGGATGGCGGATATGCTCGGGTGGGGAAAGGGGAGGAACACAGAGTCACGCAAGAAAGTTCGGTATGGTTGGAAAGCCGGGTGCGCGTAGCCCCGCCCTAAATTAACAGGCAGGCTGCTCTCCACCAATGTGCTGATCAGGTGACAGAAGCCCCGTGTCAGAAGGATACTCCTCACTAGCTGGACTCGATCTCATTCAGCTTCCACCTGAGAGTCAAACAAAGACAATCAACAATTGTACAACAGTAATGTTCATCTTGTTCAAGGATGAACATTTAATAAAAAGGAAGGTTTTTACTTTGAAGAGATAAAAAGAACTGTAACTTTTATGCAGTAAACTTTTTTTTTTTTTAAATAACCTGCACGCTTCAAGTCTAATTATTTTGCATATTTGGATCTTAAAAATATGCCCAATAGGCATCAGTCAAATGGTTGATGCTGAAAAATCATTCCATGTAAGAAGCATCTTATTATATATATTTATTTGTATATCTTATTAGCAATATCCTCGAAGTAAAGCGAGACCTAACGAATATCTAAACTTCGCAAACACAAAAGACTCACCTCAATTCCAGCTGCCTGCCCTGTCCGGTCTACTGTCTGAAGGACTGTGGTAAGAGAACATGAAGATACACACACAAACTGGAAAAACGAAAACATGCCTTAACAGAATGTATGTCTATTTTTGTGAAGTCAAGAGAATAAAAAAGATAGATACTGGTATACTGAGGATAAAATGACTTGGTGACAATACATTTGAAAGTTTTCTAGTGTTTGGTCTGTATAATAGCCAAAATATTGCCCAAAACTCACTGCTCTATCCCCAATATGAAAATAAAACCGTATGCGCCGTTTCCTCAAGTCGAGTAAAACTGCTGCAAGCAACTATTTCCAGTATCTACGTCATCGAGTGGCGCCGAAGCACTTTTTAAATGCATGTTAAATGTCCAGCATTCGCGCCACTCTATGACGTAGTATATAAGTTGGCTCTGCAGCATGTTACTCGACATTGAGAAACGGCCCGTGACCTTTCAGAAACTATGTTTAAACTCATCACTTAACCCTCCTGTTGTTTCATGGTCAAATCTGACCGATTCACTACTTTCATCAATTCTTAACTTTTTGGTTTTAGATTCGATTGGCATTAAGGCTTTTGATATCCTTCACAGTAGACATTTGAACATATAAAATTGCTGATCACCACTTTCATTGAATTTTGGATGATTTAGTAAACTTTGTGAAACCCATGGTGTTCCCGCTCAAAAATGACCACCATAAAGAAAAGGAATTAGTAACCATCCAGATCAGAAAAAAAACACACACACACACACAAACACATTAGATGTGTTTTCCCCCCCTTATGTGCCCATCCCCCCACATGGATCACACCTGGCACACACAATACATGTTCAGTGTCTATTCTTTGTATATTTACTGCAGTTTTCATGTATACCAGTAGTCTGATACAATATGTAGAGTTTGAAAGGGTGTTCAATGAAATTTGGTTGAGGATTAATGGTTTTTGTGTTAATGTAATAGCAGTTAAAACAGGACCGGTCAAATTTGACCGCGAACACCAAAGTAAGAAAACACATAAACGAACACAACAGGGGGGTTAATTGTTATATTAATTTTCAACCACTAACCTGAGTGTATTCCAGTGACTGCCACAGTGAGGCGGCGATCTCTGGTGACTTCCCAAAAGCTGCCAGGCAGCGCAGGACCTCCGCCTTCAGGACGGGGGGGACGCTGCACTGCAGCAGCCCCAACATCACCACCACGGGAGTCCACTGGGGATGCTCACACAGCGCCAGGCGAGCATTTTCACTCTATGGAGAAAGAGAACATTATAGAAATGTATCTAACAAAACACACCCTAATACACTTAGAGAAGGACAATCTCATAAACCTGAACATACAGATTCTTTCAGGAGATAAGGTGAGTGTAAAAGGAATTACAAATAACATCATCACACATTAATCCCGATCTTAATGATGTTTTATAATCCCTAAATATGAGCAGCAATAGGCCTATCCTTAATAATAATAATAATAATAGATTTAATTTGTTAGCGCTTTTACAGGTGCTCAAAGACGCTTTACAGATAATAGTGAAGAGAAAAGAAAAGAGAAGAAAGGAACAACAAATAAATATATAGTTAAAGTCAAATAATACAAAAAGTAAGTGGCTGTTCCTCCATACCCATGTGATGATGGTGGTGAGCAGCTGCAGGAAGGAGGTGAGTCCTTCCAGCTCTCTCTGGGTGATGCCTCTGAGGGACGGGTGGCGGAACTGTGCTGCGTCTGGGTTTGGAAAGTCTCGCCGCAGGTTCTCATGGTAGAGCATCAGGGAGTGAAAAAAGTGTTCCCAAGACACCGGGCTGCCGGACACTCCCTGGAGGTTGTCACCTGCGTACATGAACATGAAGTTAGTTTGGTATTCATTTGGATACGTATTACACTAAAGCTAGACAATAGACTTTAAGAGTCTGGTGTGCATATCACCTACATCTGAAGCCATTGCCAACGTGGCATAAAGTCAAATTCAGATACCTCAGAGGTCAAACTGCACTTTGAATCTTAAACGGCTTCAATTTCAGAGAGAAATAAAAAAATATGTGTCTGTTGTTATTCAAACCCAGACAATTATTTTCTGAAATGTTTCCTGTCTTTAGAACAAATCTGCTCTTACTGTGCGTGGCTCCGTTGGTTTTGAGCAGGCTGAAGGCGTAGTGTGAACACTGAGGCCCGTTGGCGAGTCCTTTCAGCATACGGAGATAGGAGATATATAGGGTGGAGGGCAGGAGGTCTCCCATCTGACGCACAAACTTGGACAGAACCACCTGCGACAAAGCATATGTAAAGGGAAAGTATTTTAACTGAAAGTTGACATGATATGATTTCTTCCAGAAAGCCATAATCTAAGTCAACAGAATAATTGATTAGAGGAGAAACCTTTTTTTGTGCATGTTCCAGAAAAGGCAGCTCTCACCTGTTTGTGCGGAGGCCTTTGCAGCGCCATCCCCAGGTAGGACCCCTGCAGGGAGGTGTGTTGCAGAGACTCTGTGGGACACCAAAACTCCAGACCCAACTCCAGTCCAAATGGGTCCTTACTGTAAAACTCTCCTATCTGCAAAGGCAAAGCAGTAACCACAACTGTCACAAACTCAAACCCACAGTGTCAAGCAGTTTGATTTGAATATTTCTCGTTTGGTAATGAAGTTTGTAAAAAAAATCAATAAACACTGACGAGGTTCATGAGATGGTCTAAGTCCTTGCGTAGCGACGATGGAAGCTCGCTCTCCATTTGTAAAGACATGTGCACCAGACGGGCATCCTCATCAGCGCGGTTACGAAGCTGTTTCACCTACAAATATAGCACAAATATGTTATTTTCATTCAGTATGCAAAAGTATACAAACACAAGCTAAAGACACACTTCAGGATGATATCCGTACATGTCAACTTCTTACTTAAACATTGGGAGCGGACACCTGTGAAATCTCTCACCTTCATTGGCATGAGTGCCAGGAAGTCTGTGATGAGTGAGTGGAGGCGGCGGATGTAAAACTCTTCCTGTGCACAGCCCTCACATCCCAGGATGCCCTCCCTCATAAACAGGAAGACGTCTCCCAACAGAGCCTGGTCGGCCAGAGCCTCGTCTGCCTCAGTGAACTCCACCAGGGCTGCACAGCACACACATGGACATTCTTTGTTTTATATTTTATGTATGCACCACGACATCAAGTCAAGTTCCTCGTATGTGTGAACCTACCTGGCAATAAACCCGTTTCTGATTTTGATTCTGACATACAAGTATTTGTAACATTGAATAGCTGCTATAATTGAGACCTTATTTTACTTCATAGGGCAAACCAATACAACAAGGAACTTACCACCTCCCTGTGGTAGCTGCGAAAGGACCCTCAGAGATAGAGCCCAGGCCAGGCGACACACAGCCTGCAGACCTGGAAGCTTCCACGGCTGGCCATCCATCAGCCGGCTGTGCACCGCAGACACGTACTGCCGCTCAGTCAGCAATGGCAGTGCCTGGATCAGATCTGGAGGAACACAGAGACGATCACTCATTAGCTGTAGAAGAAAAACACTGAACTCTAGAGCAATACAAAAAATAATCACATGATCTCACCTTCTCTATCTTCTGTTCCCTGTTCTACAAAGCTGACATCCAAGCAGTAGAGTAGTGCCATGACCAGAGCCAGGTTCACGCTATCCAATGAGCCATCAGCTTGAGCGCTCACTGTCTCCAGGTGGCCAATAAGAGCCAGGGTGTCGTCTTTAGACAAAGGTGACTGGCAGGTCCACGAAAACAGGCTGTCTGCCAGAGCCTGTCTGCTCTCTTTAATAAGGTCCGAGACCTGCGGACAGAAGAGGGAGTTAGTCGTTTTTTCTACTAAATGTGTCTTTTTCAGCTACAACACAATGCTACTGGATTTGCACAAGTTGAGTATGGTTGAAAATCAACTTTTATCAAAAGAAAGGTATTTCCATTTCAAATGAACACAAAAGATTTGCTTCTACCTCTTTCCGGTGCTTCTCGTTGCCCAGGCCGCGCTCCTTCTGCAGCCGTTCAAATTCTCGCGCCACATTGATCTCCGACACCAATGCCAGGACGCGTTTGGTCAGACCCTGGTTCATCAGTTCGTCTGTGAAACGTGTGGTCAAAGCCACCAGCTCTCCACTGAAGGAGAAAACGAACAGAACAAGTAAATAACAAGAACACGTAGTTATTATGTACAAAAACAGCAGGACAATTTAACATTTAAAGCAGCTGTCCCTGCTTGAATGCTTCATTAGTAGATGGCATTATTACCTCAGGTCCAGGGTGAAGGTCTTGCCATGGCGTGACTGGATGAGTGTGCGCAGGGAGTTGGCCACACAAAGCTTTCCATCCCAGTAGAGCAGCACAGCTACCAGACCTCGTGTCAGACCTGGAAAATGGGGCTGCTGTTGCTCACCTAGAGACAGATACAAATATTTTGAGAATCAGTTGTGTGAAACGTCTATGTCTTTACCACTGCAAATCAGGCCAGGTTTTTGTTGTATCTACCCCACACAATTTATATAACTTCCTTTAGAATTTAGCTTTCAAGTTGTGTCCTTTTATCATGTCTACTTTACCTGCTAACAGAAGCTCCAAAGCTGATAACTCTCCAATATCAAACAGATCGCTGAGGATGAAGGCCTCTGAGAGAAGCTGCTCTGGAAGGAGCCGTGACCCCTGCTGACCCTGGATGGCGATGCCTTCTGTGCTGGCTTTACGCACCTTTTCTCTCTGCTCTGCACTCTTTGGCTGAAAATAAAGTGAAGACAAAATGTTAGAAAATTCTCAAGATACACTGTGAATAGAAAATGCATCTGTCTGCCCCAAGGAAGGTGCAGGATACACGGAAAGAAAACTATCGTCACATTCACATATGTAGCGGGTCACTTCAAGAGTGTTCTCTCACCGGGTTTTTGAAGAGTGAGAGAAAGTGTGGTTTGTGTTTCTTCAGCTGCAGGTCGAGGAGGTGGACGCTCTCTGGCTGTCTCCTCAACACCGCTCCGTCCACTGTCTCCCATAGTTCCTTCAGCGGCCCCCACAGACTGGCTCCTGGGTGGGAAAATGTGTTTTTCTAAGGTCTTGTGTCAAATAAACATGCAGAGCTAGACCCTGTAAAACTTGCTTTGGTATATCTTGCTTTATCTATTATGCGGTATATGTAATAATTGTTTTGAGGGAAGTTTTTGAATGTTATATGCGTTATAGAGTCAAATTGTATTCTAGCAATACAAATATGTATGTTTAACAGTGAATACTATCACAAAGGTTTGATGGTTGACATTTGTTCCTGATGTTGCAATTGTGAACCATTTTTAAACTTAAAAAATGAATAATAATAATATGAACATGTTAGTTATTCAAGATTTAGCCTATTTACCGAATCATTTTAGATTGCTTATCATTGTTTTATACACTACTAGGTTCTGAGCTGTCACTGCACAACATCAACAGAGTCTGTGCATACATATCTGACCGTTAACTGGTACCAGTAAACAACTCTGACTCATTACCAACAGACAGAACATAATTAGATAATCTGCACCTGAATTTAACTCTTACACGAACTTCTTGTTGTTAGCATCCTAGTACAAAATATCGGGCACAGGTGTCAAATGGGTCTTTTCTTGTTCCAAGTAAGTTAGTTTCATTTTTGATCCCAATGAGTAAAGCTGACCCGTTTGACAGGGGTTCCGTGGGAGAAGTCATACTGCCCGTATTTTTGTTCTAATATAAAAATGTGTTAACGCTAAAGCTGAGCACTTTCCCCAGCAAATAGTTAAACCAAAATTAGCTAAACTAACGTGTTTTGCAGGCTAGGCTAAATTAGCCTAGCAGCCTGAGTGAATTTGAGTCAACCATCGCCATGTGGTCAAAACCTGACTTCGCCTAAACTTGCGCTAAACAGCAAATATGTACGTGTTTATCTGTGAAATTATAACTCATAGCAGCTCATAGGAGTCAACACAAATTGGTAACTTTACGAAATAAATATAGTTCATACCCGAATTTACCGCCATCTGGGCCGCCATGACACACTTTCTGAAAATTGGGCAGAAGGTGTCGGGTTTGTGCCGTAGTGAAATGTAAAATAATGTCTCCTCTAAACACGCTTCAATACTATTTTCTCAAATGATATGAACCCGTTCTACTTAAATGTGAATACTGGGTGGTTAGTTTTGTAAATGAGTTTAAAACATTTATGAAATTCTGATTGACCCTTGCAGGCGAGGTCCTCAGACCTCAGAGGCTATCTAGCTAGCTAAGTGGGAATTGTAGTTAATTCATGTATTTCCTGAATAAGTTATTTTAATACATTTCAAATCGACATAATTTATTTTAAGAATTCAGTTCTCTTTCAAATATTATTTCAAACTAAATATTGGTAAATCAGCACCCATTATGCCTTGAAACGGGTTAATGGACCACAAGTGACACAAACATTGGTTCCGCCCTGTGTTCGCCCGTACTGTTTTGACGTTACACCAACATGTCCATGCAGTCTGACAGTAGAAAACCCGTGACCGCTGGGATGAAAATGTCTCATTCATGAATATAAAACATCGCAAATGTTTCACTTTATTAAAATAGAGTGCTTGGTAACTATTTAATCAAAACCATGGCTCGGGTTGTGAAAGTGTTTCTCACTCTGCGGAATAACTGGAAGAAATCCACATTTGCTGTGTGCGTCTTGTCTTATGGAGGCTACTGGCTGAATGGTAAACACAGGTGAGTATCTCAGGTTATAAAATGATCTCAAATATGAAAAAGCATACTTTATGTTTTAGTGTTTTAACATTGTGTGTCTTGTGTTTTGCTAGTGACTCCCTTCTGCGGAGGGAGGCCTGTCTATTGGCGAGGGTAAGACACTTTTTTTTGCTCATACATTGTCATCGTTTAAGCCAAACCCCATCTGAAATGCATTTTTAGGCCTACTTGTAATCACCATAACTCCTGATAGGAGTTTGGGCGTCAACAAATAGCACCACATGAGCGTCTGAGGAAAGCAACAGTGATTTTGAACCCTGCAGCCTGCGGTGGGTAAGTATCCTCTCGGAATTTTCTACACTTAAGACCCTGGTCTTTCTCACAATATTCACAACTCCCTCTCTAAATCTCCCCCAGAAAAGCTAACAACCTGTTTGAAAAGAATGCTGCTCCTATATTACACCTGGCTGGTGTGGAGGTGACAATAGTAAAGGTACATTTAGTTTTATTTCCCGTTTGGAATCCATCAGTGCTACAGTATGTGTTTCTAGTAGGAATCCCATGTGACACCATGAGTTAAACGACTTGTTTCTTCACAGACAGATTATGAAGGCCAGGCAAAGAAACTGATGGAGCTTGCAGAACAAACAGACATGCTGATCGTGGCCGGAGGGGATGGCACCTTGCAGGAAGTCGTCACAGGATTACTGCGAAGGCCCGATCAAGTATGTTTCACACACTTATTGTATTGTCACCAGGATTTGGTTTTAGAGATTAATGCAAAACATGTCCTAATTTTTCCATTTATTGATGTCAATAATGCATGTTTAATGACTGCAGGACACCATCTGTCACACACCCATTGGATTCATTCCACTGGGCTCCCGCAACTCCCTGAGTCCGAGTCTTCACCTCCTCAGTGACAACAAGGTCAAGTAAGTATCTATTTAAAATTATACTGAAAGATCAGAATTTTAGCATCATACAATCTCACTGGGTGTGTCACACTAACTACACATCGGACAATATATGGACATGACCTTGTTTATTTTTACTGACCCCAATATTGTCAATGTGTTTTTTTACATGCATCTTTGTTTACTTCAGTATGTCCCTAACTGCCAGAATAAACAGCAGGGTTATCCTATATATTATAAGACTTGGCTGCTGCGCATATCACACATTATTGTTGACAGAGCCCCATAACATTTTATTTTATTTAGGATATTATATATCATATACTTTTGTCGCATTAAAATTCCATTGTCTGAATAATACAAAGGATTAAAGTAAATTGTCTTTTGAAAGGGTGTTCTTGCATTAATATGCTATTATACTTATAGTATATCCGTATCATTAAATGACAGTAATATAGTTTATCTCAATTATTTTTTAGGATCATTCATGGTCCAATAATTAGTTATTGTGTAAGTTATTGTTACTGTGTCAGACTGTGTAAAAATACAGTATGTGTATGTTTACGTTTTTTCTTCTTCTCATAAATAACTTTCATAGAGACATTACATCCGCAACACTGTCCATATTGAAGGGAGAAACTGTTCCTCTGGATGTGCTGCAAATCAAAGTAAGGACAAATATAAAATAATATAAGTCTTAAAGGTACAGACATGGCTTGGTTAGTTTTTTTTACAGGTCATATCAACAAATGATCTAAGAAATATTTAATCTCACACTCATAAAATGACTCTTCTCATGAAGTAGTATAATGTACCCATTGTTGTTTGGATCTATAATTTGTGTCTTTGTGTTCCAGGGGGAGACAGAGCAGCCCGTCTTCGCTCTGATTGGATTACGTTGGGGTGCTTTTAGAGATGTGGCGGCAAAAATCAGCAAGTAAGATTACAACATTGGTCACTCAGATTATAAACCCTGGATAACTCCCCAAACATGAAAGTAATTAACCTTTTTTTCTAATAGATATTGGTACCTTGGACCACTGAAGACCAACGCAGCACATTGGTTAAGTACTCTACATGTAAGGATATATTTTTTTGTTTAACATACTTGGGTTAGAACAGTATATCTAACTGGTGATGAGCTTTTATAAAATATGATATCAGAAAGCCATGTGACCTCCCTATTACGAAACACATATTTTAAGCATGTTTGATTGTTTAACTTTTAAATTAGCCCTTTTTAATTAGATTTTCTTATGAACAAAAAACCCTGACATGTATAGCCTGTTTTCTACATCAATTGAAGATCAGATGGACCTTAAACAGTTATTAACATAAAAGTATTTCTTAAGTGTAGGTTTTAGATCAATACTAGTATCCAACAATGATCCAAATGTTGATATTGAAGTTTTCTATCTCTGATCAGAATAAACAGTCAATTTTGTAGTAAATATATTTTCTTAATTCTTTATTTTAAAATGTGTAATTGTTAATATGTATTAAAAATATAAAGATGATCAGGAGCCTCATTAAAACACATTGCCTTGTCTAATCAGTATTCTGTAGCATACCATAGATAGAAGTTTATTAGCATTACTGGTAACAGTTTGAAAACAACTCAATAGAAGAAGAATACAAATAATAATAACAAAATATTCTTTTTAAATGATTTACATCAAGAAAAATAATGATCCCCATTTACCACCATGCACACATGCATACAAATATTTAAAATATATATATACAAATACAATTTATGCATTAAAAAAAATCCCTAAAATAAGAGGAAAAAGCAATAAAAAAAGAGAAAGACAAACAAACAGAACAGAGCCTAAAGACTTCAACCATCCATCTGTTCAACGTCATGAAATGATTTCCCTATTTCATGTCTCGCCATTTCCTCTTCACCTTCCCTTCACCAGGAGTGGCCCCTGGTCCGGGAGGTCTCAGTGTCCTACTTGGATCCAAACCTGCGGCCCCCTGATCTGTCCCCTCAGAGGCCCCAGAGACCCAGCCTGCTGTACCGCATCTTCCTCCGGCTGAAACACCGCTGGAGCCCTCCTGTCGTAGGTCAGTGTGTGTCATTGTGTCGACGCTCGGGTCACAGCATGGCAACTTTACACCAACATCCCAACAGTAAATGACGTCCTTCGTGTGTGTGTTCCACAGAGCCTCCAAAAGTGGAAGAGCCAGAGGAGTGGAAAGAGGAGCAGCTATCGACGCTAGAGCTGTTTGTTCAAACGCACAACAAAAACCCGGTGCAGAGGGTCAGTACAACAATATGTGTATTTAAAATGTACCTGTTCTTACAAAATTCTGAGCAATTGAATACTCAGTCGTTGTCATTAAACTTTTTTTGAATTTGTATTTGCTTCTATTTGTTTTACTTGCAGCGTATAAATGACTCCATGATGATCTACGCCGAACCGGACAACCTCACAGTGGGCGAATACATCACTGTCGGGTCAGTAAATACACTTTTTCATTCATCTGATGCAAACAGACACATTTGGCATCCTTTTAAAGGTAATGTTGAATTTAATTCAAGTAAAAGAATGTAAATGTTCTTCATCCTAGAAACAAAAAAGACGAGGACCCCACCGTATTCACTAAGGAGTCCACTAAACTGGAAGCCAGTGCTTGCCGGCTGCAGCTGCCAGAGGTCAGATTTCATGACTTTCTCAATAATTTTACAACTGAAGTACTTCTGATGTCAGTGTACTTTCTAAAGATCAGTATTCCAGTTTTGTGGCACTATTTGACTTTATGTTCTCACGCCCCGCAGGGTACCGCTGGCTTTTACAACATCGACAACGAGGAGTACGAGGCCATGCCTGTAGAGATAAGTCTGTTGCCACGGAAACTACGCTTCTTTATCAGTGCGGAGCGCAGGGAGCAGCTCCTCGCACAGATGCAGTGATGGAAAAATACATTACAACAAAGAGAAGATAAGAACAGACGGAGACAAAAACTGATCTCAAGAGAAACACAGGAGCAAAGAACCGCCAGACACTCTGAGGTTGTTTGGAAAACAGGTGTCATACTAATGGATTATTTTACTACATTTAACAATGATGATAGAATATACAGTTTATCAATTATAAAGATCACGTTACACACTGTTGTATATAAAAAGATCAAGGCTTTGTTTCTTTAGGCCATTCACCTGTGTACAGATTGACCTGAGGAACGGACGTTATGTTTACTGAATGGTTTACTAATGCCATCACATTTGAACTTGGTCAATAAAAATAATTTCTGTCCAACTCAAGTGTATTTTGTAAGTATTTAGCACATGGTCTCTATTGATAGATGTATGTGTTTCATGATTAAAAAAAACACACAAAACTGCACTGCCGTCATAGGTTCATTTCCGTTGTGATCCTCTGGTTCCACACATAGCACACCGGAATTACGGGAAATAATAACAAGACAAGAAATAAGAACTCATTATATTAAAGTTAAACATTTCAGAAGGACATTGAATATGCTACATGTAACTGTTTCTTTAGGGCCACTTTAAAGGGGCCCTATTATGCTTTTTGTGACTTTCCTGTAGTGTGTTATAAAGGTTTTTGTGCATGTAAATGGTCTGCAAAGGCTAAAGTCCCAGTGTTCCGTCCAGAGGGAGTTTCTATCACACACCCCCGCCCTGCCTGCAACGCCTCCATTGGACTCCTTTGTTTACATCCGTAACATAGTGACATCACTATGTAACACGTGCGCTTCTATTAGCTAGCGCTCCAACACATTGTACGTGATAGGCTAAGGGGCGGGTCATCTCGAAGCAGTTAATCAATCACAACAGAGTCAGACCACTAACCAATCGGAGCAAACTAGGCTCTGGTTTCAGACAGAGGGTGAAAAGAGGTGCTGCAGCACAGACAGTATGAGAAAAATAAAGGGCTTTTTGAACATTAAAGCATGGAGACATGTTTCAGTCGAGGCACAACATACAAATATGAATCTGAAAAACGAGCAAAATAGGGCCCTTTTAAACATAATCTGTAAAATGCTCAATTTCACATTTGTGGGCAGATTGATTTGTTTTTGTTGTGGGGCTGGGGCAAAATGGAACTGATGGACAAAAAGAGAAAGGACCGACCGGAAATCAAAAGTAGTCATGCATAAAGAAAAATATACAGTGTACCAGAGCATTAGCTGGCTGTGAGTAGCCTGCAGGGCTCAGCAGAGTATGGGATGGAGGAATGGTGTATCGATGAATGGATATGGCAGAATAAAGGGATGCTGCAGCACTCTGAATGTGTCGCTATAATTCCCAGATCTTGAAGCAGGAGTTTGGCAGACTCATGGTGAGGTCTGAGCTGACAGATGGTGTAAACAGCTAATCTGTGAGATTATTAAGCATGGCTGCATCCCAGGCCTCTTATCAGCTGGTTGGAACACAAAGGGAGGATCTTGCTTTGATCTGGGTGGTGTTGATTGCTGTGGAAAGATAGTGTGGGGTAATGGCAGATTTGAATAAGTAATTTACTTATCTTTACATTTTTAAATGTTGTACTTTTTACCCTTCATTCATTTGACCTCTTAGGTACTTTTTATTATTATTATTTTACAGATACATACATATTTTTAACATAATGTGGTAAAACTGTGTCGAGAATACTTTAGTGATTTTAATTTGCACTTGACATAGAAAACAAAGCATGGTCTACATTGATGCAGTATATCCTGACATTCAATCCCTAATATGGGTTTAAACTCTGTAAATGCATTTCCCATAATGCAACTGGGTAGCATCTTTAACTAGACCGTACTTGCTTTACTTGCCATTAATTGTTATATCTTTCAAACCCCACACTTGCAGTTTGTAACACAGGCTTTCTTTTTAAAGTGATAGTCTAAGACACATTTAAACTCGACCCCATGATGTCACTGGGGTTATTTTTTTGTATCTTTCGTAATATCCTTCAAGAGCGACAGAACAGAAGACATATATGTTCTGAGAAACTGGAGTTCTCCACTCCTTGTTAAGAATAAACTGAAGAATTTGTAAAATGGTGGAATGCCCCTTTATATAAAGTAGTTTAAATGGGCTCCACATTAGCCAACTACAACAGTAAAATATTGTTTAAATTTTAAAGCAACATTAATATAAATTACATAAGAAATGTATGTAAGAGAGCACGAACCCCCCCCCCCACAGCCATCATGTACACCTTCTACAGAGACGCCATCGAGAGCAGCCTCAGCAGCTCCATCACTGTGTGTGTGGTTTGTGGACCACCTCCAACCGTAAGACCCTGCAGCGCATTGTGAACACTGCTGAGAGGATCATCGGTGCCTGACTCCCAACTCTCCAGGACTTCTACAACACCCGCCTCACCCGCAGAGCACTCAGCGTTGTGGGTGACCCCTCCCATCCCTCCACCTGCCTCTTCACCCGCATGCCTTCAGGGAGGAGGTTCCACATCCACCAGACTCAAAAACAGATTTGTCTACGAGGTTGCAGGAGGCTGAACTCTCTCACCTCCCTCCCACCTCTCCCCCCTGCCTTAAACTGTATGTGTATTTTTGATTATGTAGGTTTTTAAGACATTTTAACTTTTATTCCTCAGTATCGAAACAGCAATTCGATCTCCCTGTCTGTATATCACACGAATACTGTAAGTATATCTGGCTGTAAAGTAGTACAATATATTTGAGGGAAGAGAAGTGTAGGTAGTGTAGGATTATAAAGGAAATAGAGAAAACGGTTTAATAGAGAATTAGATAACACAAACTGTATTAATGTTTTATTGTTTAATGATGGCAGTACAGTGAAATGAACTCATGCTTGAATAGATGTGTACATTACTGACATCTTTTACAGTGTTTCACATTAGTAAAGGTGAAGACTTATTATTCTGTGAGTACTTGTTATTTACATTACAATCAAGAAGAAAAAGGTTAAACTTTTTATTTGCTGCATGTGTGCAATACTTTTGCTATCTCTGACATTCAGTAGAGTGACAGGCTGTACAAACGACTGATGCTGGTCTGTGAACGACTCCACAAAGAAGGCATGTTATACAGTAAGTGTGTGTTGTGTACATTCCCTTATACATTTAACAAACAGTAAAGCAAACACCGTCAGAGGCAAGTGTATAGGTCTGCTGAGAAGTAAATAAATGAGTCAGGGTGAACAGGTTTCACAGCAAGGTCCTTCAGAAGTGCGTAGGATAATGTACTTAGTCAGCAAATAGATACAGTAATGAGTCTGGTTCACAAATCACATATCCTTAAGGCCCCATTTACACAACAAAGAATTTCAAATAAATCACTTGGTTCACTTTTATTCTGTTTTTGTAAACCCAGAAAATTGGTGAAAGTCAGGAGTTCTCAATCCCAGGGATCAGCCCCTGAAAGATCATTTTTGGAATGTGTTAAAATTCATCACATGTTCAAAAGCTTGCTTTTTGGGGGGTTGGCAGGAGAACCACTACTCCAAATGTATACCAGGGAAATATATGCCTTTTGTGTTCCAACATGGAACAAACGATTGACAATGATTAAACACAAAGAGATGTTTGTCAGGGACACAGACAAGCAAGAGGATCTTTTTGAAGCTGCTCAACAAGTACAGTATACCATCACGGACTCCTCACTCAACGCGTCACAAAACACATATTGGCCTCTGGTGATGTAACAGCCACAGGTTCAAGTAAAACAAAAAAGGGAACAATGAAAGCCTTTATACAGTGCAAAAGACTAATTCACAAACATTTGCTGGCTCAGACTGTAGATCATAGAATAACAAATATTAAGCTTGTGTGCATCAGGAGAAATTCCAGTGGTAGACATGGTGCAGCATTCATTGGTGTTATACAGTAGAGTCACATTCATGGAATATTCAAGAACCTCAGCATGTAACACAAGAGAACGTTTCTTCACTGTGATCAAACACATTATCACATCTACCTCATGTTGAAGGTGCATCAAAAAGGTGATTAAAGTATTAACAGCTTTCTCTTCTCAATAAATGAGTCATTTCATAATCATTTACCATCCCCATTATTAAAAAAAGAGGATAACTAACAAATGTCATTACTGCTCACTTACAGTTGTTAAAAAAAAAACAGAACTAGAAAACAACGTGGAAAATGAACAAACATAAATAAGGCCGATTTCAATTGGCAAACACTTCTATTCAGTGCTGCAATCTGCAATCATTTTTATTATAGATTAATTTGGCAATTATTGTCTAGTTTACTAGATTAATCATTTAATATATCTATTTATATAAAAATTGAGAAAAAAGGGAAACATTTCAATCCCATTATTTTAATCTGTGGTGATATCCTTAAACGTCTCATTATCTAAGAGGCTGAAAACTGATTATTTTCTGTAATATTTGCACGGAAAATTACCCTACGATTCTACTATCGATTAATCAGTTATCAAAATAGTTGGCGATTATTTTTCATTGCGGCTCTAATCCTATTGCTTCCCTTTTGAAAGGGAAATAAAGTATTCAAAAAGCATCCATCTACAGTATGTTATAACAGCATACTCCACCTCCATAATATGAATCTTACTCCAAAGCTGCATGTTTTTGAATGTTTCAATGACTTCTCCATTGTGATTGGTGCAGTGGGGAACAACGAACCATCCTGTGGGGACCAGAAATGATCAAGATGTCCAAACTTTAATCCAGTGCTTCAGCTGAATGGAGACTTATTTTCTGACGATAAACAGCACTGAGTGATATAGGATGTGAACGGCTACAGTATAAGACCACGCAGCTGCCAGGCGATACATAGTCTGCTGGGCAAGTGTTACTCAGTCACTGTGGACGTGTGCGCCATCATTTAACGTCCTCGTCCTCCACAATGTTTGGAAACAGTCTCCACAGGTCAGATGAGACAGACAGAGGGAAAACCGACACCCAGTGGGGGACAGCAGATGGAAATCCCAGGAGGGGGAGGCAGTGTCTTCGGTGTCTAGGTGTGCGTGGGCCACGAAGGCACAAATATCCAGTGAAGTTTCCCAGTATGAGGGGGGGGGGGGGGGGGAGGGGGCTCAGTGGCAGCAGAGGTTGTCTATGACCAGCGTGATGTCTAGGCCGTATACCTCCAGCAGGTCCACCAGGAAGGAGCGGTCGCCCTGGGGGTCCAGCCCCATGGCCCTGACGTGCTCAGCGGTCAGGGTGGGGTCGTTGCTCCCCGCTATGTCTGACAGTGTCTGGAAGATGCGGTTGTTCAGCTCCATGAAGAACCTGGGAGTGGTTTAAAGACAAGAGGGTCACGCTATGGTCGTCAGCGACACATTCAAATGAGAAAACCATTCTAAACAGGACTCCCTAAAGTTACTGCTTGGATAAGTTAGTAACATTGCAACCTAAATAAGGTATTTATTGATTTTATCTTTACGTTAAATCAAAGTGTAGACTTACAGAAGACCTAACGCCTGATTTTCAAGCTGTAATCTTTTCACTTTTTATCATTAATTTACAAAGATACACTTAGATTGTTGCTTGTGTACAGCTGGTATGGCTACAGACATTTACCTGCCTTCTTATAAGATATTCAATTGACCATAACTTTAGACTTGAAAATCTGTACAGCTAAATAGTGCCTTTATATACAAAATGTCATTGAGCTTGATTAAATAAAAACATTCCATTTCCGAAATGGAATGTTTTTATTTAATCAAGCTCAATGACATTTTATTTGTCTCATACCTATGTACAGTACATAGGTATGAGACAAATAATATTCCTAGAAATTAAGGGAAAATATATATAGCATATTCTGTTTGCCTTCATACATGCATCCAATAAACTGATCTCATATTGTACGTATGTATTTCCTAGCTAGTTTCCATTCTTTTTTAAGAGCTTTAAAAAAAAAAAACGATCCCACATTTACTGACACTAATCAAGCCAAAATCATTTAGATTTTTTTATCTGAATGCCAGCAAACATTTTTTACTAAGGTGTTTCAATCACAGAGCTCGCTTAAATCTGCATTGAATACATCATTAGGGAGCCCCCTCATTAAACGTACAGCCTGTGGTTAGGCTCACAAGCAGCTGTGAATAAATTTGTCAAAGACTCACAGAATAAACAGATCCTCTTCATTTGTGGTGCAGTCACCATCCACCTCCTGAGAGTACAGCAACATTTGCCTGGAAGAAAGAAAAAAAAAGGTCAGCATATATTAATATAATATGTAAAAGAAATAGGATCTTAAGGCATCTAATTGTGTTTTTCGCTGACTAGTATTAATAAGTGTCCAGGTTCATATTGAGTCTTTTCTTATAGCTGTCTAATATAAATGCAAGTATCACATTTGAAAATTTACAGGCCATTGTAGGAAAGAGAAAATGACAGAGCCCGGGCAAGGGTGTTATATATTATTCTAGCAAAGGTATAACTTTACATTTTATACAATAGTGGAGTTTTATTCTAGTAATTTTGTGAGTTTTCTACTTAAATTAATTGCTTTAATCTCATAGAATATCCAAGTGCTTTTATTGTAAATCTGTCCTAAATTCAGATTAATTATGTTGAACATTAACCCCGACCTTGCCGCATTTAAAACGTTTTTTTAACCGATAATAGCCCTCATAATTCCTTGTAAAACATAGTTGAATTTCAAGTATTCTACAGAGTGTAATTTACCTCTGTTCGCTCAGTTTCCTATACTTCTCCTTATCCGCTGCATTCACTCGGAGCAGTGGCTGCAAATGGCTTCTGTGTGTTTTCACATTCTGGTTATCAATGTAGACGTCGTACAGCCCCTTCTTGTCCTCGAAAATCTTCTCAGTGGTGCCTGAAAAAAACAAAACATACTCATTTATAAAGAATCCTTTTACATAGACTACAGATTGTACAGTACAGTGAGCGCTTTACTCACAGGCCACGTATGACATCTCTTTCTCCAGGGTGGTGATGTCTGCTATGTTGATGTAGAAGAAAGGCCGTAATTCAGGAACAGAGACACCGATTCCAGGAAGAGAGACATTAGCCAGGCAGCAACAGCAATACACTGAGGGGAGAACAAGAACAGAGGGAATGAAACATTTCCAAAAAAATGGAAATTTAAAATAAAAGGAAGGATTATTACATCCTGGCTTCTAGTGCATGTGTGTTTACGCTTCTCACCTCTGTAGCAGACCACACCCACAGGTGGAGGGGAGAAGATGAGGATCCGTTTCCTAAGCAACGCAAACTTCCACAGCACCATGATTTGCTCCCCGAAAAACTGGATGAACTGCGACATACAGCCGGCAGGGTGGGTGATCTGCAGAGGGACAAATATGTCGTTGTGGTTTTTCTGTTGTTTAAATCTGCCGTTACCTACAGTATGTAGCTCATGTGCTCCACTGCTAACACACCTTCATTTCTGGGTGCATACAGCGGTTGATGGAGGTAACACTCCAGGTGGGGCAGGCGGTGACCAGACCGTTTCCTGCAGGGGGGAGGACGGCCTTCTTATCCTCGTAGAAGGCCTCCAGGGGAGAATACTGGCCCGGACTCTTCAGCTGGAGTCTAAGACGGAGAAAGAAAATGAATGTCACGAGTCAATCAACCCTTCTTAGATTTATGTCACTAAGAAGATGAAGTATTGCTTAGTTGTATTTAAACAAATAACATATTAATTATGTGTCAATGTTACTTGACCATACATGAAAGCTCACAGCAATTATCTTTAATATAATAATACGAAAAACAGTAGTATGTCCGAGCAAAGGTAATATCATTTACGAAGCCTATGTTCATATATGTTTTAATTATATATTGATTAATATTGATAGTGTCATACAACATAGGGATGAAAAGGTTAATCATATGCAAATGAAATTACATTATACACTAATGCAATATCTAAATCACAGTGGGCTAATTATATATACACACAAATATTCATTATATATTAGTACTATTAAGCATTGGTGTTGCAAAGATGTAACTGCCTAAGAATCATTTTCTACATAATCAAATAAATCTTTGCTCTGTATAGATGTAGAATTTTTCAAACATTTTAATATATTTTTCAATAGTTTCTTTAGTGTATCAATATTTACTTAAAGTCTAAGTAAAAATAGGCAAAATAACAGATTATGTTTGGTCCGTTAACTATCCGTTGTTCTTAAGTTGCATAGCGGGATCATTTGAGGCTACACACATTACATAAATAAACATTTTCTTTTTGGTTTAGCCACCAAAACCATAAACGTATAACATATTTATAACACAATTTGAGTGGCTGTTAAAAAAAAATCACAAGAACCACACATAGATTAGATTACCAATCATTCTGATCCACTGGTACTCAGCTGTAACCTGAGCCATATGTATATCTTAAGGTGAAACTGTGGCTGCATCAGATATTTATACATAGTCAATGATGAGATAAGCTTTCGTGAGAGGACCGAGGCAGAGTTACTGAGGAGAAGAGAGGCTGTCAGGGTTTATTCCACTTCCGTGCTTAGACTTCATACTAAAACTGCATTTAAATTGAGCTCCTGTGACGATAGCTGTAACCGGGACTCTGGGCTAATGTTTAATAGATGAGGGAACATTTTAACCAAGAGGGTAGGAGGTAGGAACATAAGAAGAAACCTGTTTACACAACCACAAGAAAAATAATAACAGAAATAGGGTGGTCGAAGGTGAGTGAATAAGGAAAAAACAATTAAAAAGAAGACTCATAAACACAAAGCATGTCTTACCTGACTTGGTTCTCCAGGAAGTGCATGTAGCGGTACAGCAGGGTGTAGGAGGGAGACAGAATTCCCACAGACTTCATCCTCGCTCCTCGCTCCAGCTCACTGTCCACAGGCATGTTAGCAAAACAGGCCAACCCAAAGTAACAGCCCTTACGGAAATATCTAGCCGAAGGAAAAACAGAAAATGGGAGTTAATGATTTCTCAAATCATAGATACAAAACAATTGCATAGATCAGACTTGTGTATCTCTAACTACTAGATTTTAAGGCTGCAATTAGTCAAACAGTTTTGATAATTGGTCAACCGTTGACATGCAGAAAAGGCTGTTCAGCCACTGAAATATTGATATTTTCAACTTGTCCATATGTCTGTCTCCGGGCATTTTTGGCTAAATTGTTCTCTTTTTTCGGCTGATTAATCGATAATGAAAATAGTTGCTTTTTTCTTGATTTCATGCTTCCTGACTGGTGTGGTGAGTGGATGAGTGGGAGTACGTACATAAAGTCACTGTTGATCCGATGGGAGCCACTGGCAATGGACTTGAATTCCACTCCGTCCAAGTTGATGTCGTGAGGCAGGCACCACTCCACCATATTCCCTTTTATTCACAAACACACAAAATAAACCACAGTTACTTCCCATTCTGTCCACTTTCATCCTGGCCACTTCCCCTAATCCTGGATTTTAGTCATGTAGGAGCAAAAGGTCAGGGACAGTGGAAAGCACTGACTCAGCTACTGTAAATATACACTGACCCCTCCTATGAAGCTGAACCACTGACATCCTGGTCTTGTTCGTTTGTTATATGGCATGGTTTACCTTCTATACCAGCTCTTGCATACTCTTTACAGTTTGTCAGCTTGCTAAATCTGGCAAGCCAGACCAGGAAATTAATTTCTTCTGGAAGGGTTGGCCCATAACAATAAGGGATATTTCACCACTGTGGGTTGTTCATATTGTTTACTAGTGTCTTGACATTTAAAATATGAGTTTACCACCCCACCTGCTGATAGCACTTCACGCCCTTAACCCCTATGACTCAGTACACATCAGACATTCCAAGATAACAATCATGGGATAATCGTTTTAGGAAATGTAGCTATGTCATTCACAAGTGAGAATTGTAAACAAATGTGAAAATATACATCTTGTTACAATATGATTGCTTACCTGATCTTGTATCAAAGGTAACCACGAAAACAGACACTATCTGGTCCTTCTCCTCCCACTGATCCCTCGCCGAGAGGCCGGGGAAGGGAAGATTTCGATCTGAACCGAAGGGCTCCGGGCGATGCCACCCGAGCCCACAGATCTGTGTCAGCGGGCGGCCCGAGTTTCCGTTCCTGCTGACAACAACAGCAGTTCCACTCTTCGTCGGGCTGCAGCTGATGGTGGTGTCGACGGTGCTGGTGCTCCACCCAGTACCAGCCGCGGTCCCCGACGGTGTGCGACGCCCGGCTGGTTTCGAACTTTTCTCCGCCGGGGCGTCCTCCTCCTCCCGGAGCGGTGGATGCAGCGCGGGCTGGGCCGCCTGGTTGGGGTCGGGCGGTGGGATCTCCTCCCAGTCCAGTAGCGGGGCTCGGTCCGACTGATTCACCATGATGATGCTGCCTCGGAAAGCGAGAAAAAATAACACAACAGTCCGCTATCCAGTAGAATCGAGCACACTAAACGCTTCGCTGGAGCCGGATCATGATGTCCTGCTGCTCGCTGGGTTGTTTTCTGTGTATTTGTAAGCGTGTCACATTCACCGACGGGCTTCTTTTCCTCCGCCTGTCTCACTGTTTTGATGACGTAGCTGACTTCCGCCCACGTGTCTCTATTACTATTTCATACAGTGACCTAATTTTGGTTATGGGCATTTTATGCTGCCCATATAAGGCTTAATAATATTCAGTCGAATGGACATACAGCATAAATGTGCCTTTTGACTATTACGTAAATATTCGTGATATTTAGATTGTATCTAGTTTTACTTAAATTGTTCATTTTAGTGTTGTTGTGATATAATTACATATTTAAATATGTATTCATATACCTTTTAAAATTCTTATTTTCCTCGTTTTTAAAGTAAGGCTGTTAAAGTGGATTTCGCAATTAGCAGCCATTTGTAAAGTCAGGTGTGCGGTTTGTGAACAGTTCAGCCAATCAGAGAGGTAGCTGTGTTAACCCGAAGGCATAAACAGGAAGTAATTTACATACAAGGCGCGAAATTCAAGCGTGGTAAGGCGGTGGGGAATTCAACGTCTTAGTGAGTATAAATGTTGAACACATTATCACTTAAATCACATGCTGAAGTACATTTATGACCATATGTGAAGCACCTGTTGACATGTCAGAAGCGCCTGGAAAATAATATCAAAGTGTGTCTGGAAAACTGCTTTTTGTTTGCCCTATATTTTTGGTTAGAAGAACCTCAAGAAGGAAAAAGTAAATAAGTAAAGTGACATATAATGATTTAATAATGGGATTTATGTTGCAGTCGTGGAGTTAATAGTAGTAGTAGTACCATACTGGGTGAAGGCCTATGGGTTTAGAGACACGGATGTTTTCCTCTTTTCCTTAATAGGTTTAAATGCAGGCTTTAATAAAGGTCCATCTTATCTTATCTCATCTTATCTTTACAATCCAATGCATTAACCGCCATTTTAAATATTATTACTCTCTAATGGCAAGCAAATGCATGATTGTAGAAAGGACAGCAACATGAAGACTGCTTGCTACCTCAGCACACAGCATGTAGATCTACTTTCTCTACTTGTTTTTTGTGAATGTCTTTTAATGTACCATTTTTAATAGCAGATTTTGCACACACAAACCAAACACAAATGTCTGATATTTGCACACAAAATGTAGGCATTTAAGTTTTTTCTATTCAGGTATTTTAGGGGAAACCTTTGCCAAAACTCCCTGGCGCTGAGCATGTCGAAGTTTTTAGACGATCTCAGCCAGCGGCTGGACTTCTCTAGCTGTGGGGAGGAGGGCAGCTGCAGTGACAACAGCTCCGATGATTGCACCTTCAGGTTCCAAAGTCCTAGGATTCGAAGTCCCAGGATTCAAAGTCCTAGAATCCGCATCCCCAGGATCTGCAGCCCCAAGATCGGCAGTCCCCGGATCGGCAGTCCCAGCTCTACGTGCCGGAAGCCCAAGGTGCAACGCCACCGCAGCAGAAACGACACAATATGTTCCCCTTCGCAGTGTACTAGCCCCATACCTTATGCTTCCTGGAGGAAACTGAGGCTGTGTGACTCTCCCAGCACACCCAAAGTAGGCAGCAATTCAGACTGATTGTGATCTCAATTTTAAACCAGTTTTACTTAAGTGAAATAAATTGCCTTTCTCTTCCCCCCCCTATAGAGCTTACTATCTAAGTCGTCCCAGCCTTGCTCCAGTACTAAGATATGTCGCCCTCTTAGGACCCTGCGTTTTGCCTCATCTACTGCCGCTAACCACATCAAAGCACCCCTGGTCAATGTTAATCCTTTCACCCCCGACACAGTCCGCAGGAACAGCGAGCCGCAGTGGAGGAACTGCGGTAGAAGTGATGACGATTATGGACGCAGGTATCTACTGCTTTGTTGTAGCTCTGTGAAGTTATGAATTGTAAACACCGGCATGGCCCAACATTTTAGTCACAGATGGGGATTCGTTTAATGTGTGAGAAATGTGTAATTGAGAACATCATAGGGAAATAAATATGACTGTATTATGGTGTAGGTGTCACAATAAGACTTATTTTTAAATGGAATTGAATTGGTTGCTATAGATAACCCACAGGAATGACATTTTTAGAAGATGGATAGATGGATACTTTATTGATCCCAATTTGGGAAATGATTGTGTTCAGACATTAAAATACAAATACTTAAAGTGGAAAAGTTAATTAACAATTAAAAATAGTATAGCAAATATAAACAATATAAAATATTCTGGATAATAAATTATTCTGGATATATAATTCTCCATCTCATACATATGCCTGACTTGTTAATCGCTTACTAATGCAGTTTCTTTAATGAGTATGTAAAGTCCCTTTTTTAATTTTTTCATCTTCCAGGATTAAACACAGCCTAACGTCATCTGAGGAGGATGATGAAGCCTTCCTCCCACCTAAGGTACAGCTATTTTCATCAGTGCTTTTATGGTGAATGTAACCCTCCCCTGTCAGATTCTTCAGATATTATTTCATCGTCAGGCTTTGTCATCTTTGTCCGCCTCTTCACTTCTTTTTCTTGTCCAAAATGACATGCTGCCAGCGCTACTTCCGTGATTTCTCTAAGGAATCTCCAGCAAACAGAAAAGCCTGTCACAATCCTCATCTCTGATGGAAGTGCTACCGTATTTGGTTACCCATCAAAGAAAAAAAAACGGATTCTCCTCGCTGTTATGAAACTCGGGACTGCCCTCTGTGACGTGTGTTCTTTCTTTAGAAATTTCATTTGTTTTTTACCACAAGGCCCTCCGTCTGTTTATCTGGCAGAGGCGAGCTGTCCAAGCCTTTATGCTGTCACGCTATGAGAGTGAGTTCCTGGAGCTGGAGTGCATTGGTGTGGGCGAGTTTGGAGCAGTTTACAAGTGTGTGAAGAGGCTGGATGGTTGTTTGTACGCCATAAAATGCTCTCGCCGACCCCTGGCAGGCTCTACCAATGAGTGAGTCCGCAGCATGACGCTATGTGCCAGATACAGATAAGTCACCCCTTTTTATTTTGTACGTACATTGATCCAATTTATCTGATTGTTTTTTTTATGTTTTCTCAGGCAGTTGGCCTTAAAGGAAGTGTATGCACATGCTGTTCTTGGGCACCACCCACATGTTGTTCGCTATTATTCAGCATGGGCAGAAGAAGATCACATGATTATTCAGAATGAATACTGCAACGGTAAGTTTCTCATTAACCCCAAATTAGGAGGACCCAAACACATTTCTAAATATCTTTAAGTCAACTCAATTAAATTGTGTGGATTTGATGTGTTTGTGGCAGGTGGAAGTCTCAGTGATGCCATTGTGTCGAAGGAAGAGCAGGGTGAGCTTTTTACAGAGGATGAGTTGAAGGATCTGCTCTTACAAGTGTCCATGGGGTTAAAGTACATCCACAGCTCAGGCCTCGTGCACCTCGACATCAAACCAAGTAAGTCTCATTGAGCAGTTCTAGGTCTGCATTTCTTGTTCTGTACAGTCTTAACCAAAAATGTGCTGTGCTTAAGAACCGTCTCTTGTTTCAACTCCTTTTTAAGGTAATATATTCATTTGCCAGCGTCCCAGCACAAGTGCATCAGGTGAAGGGGAGAGTGAGGAGGAAGATTACCAAAACGCTTCAGGTGGAGTCGTCTACAAAATTGGTATTTTATTTAAAGTTGGATAACATTTTTTTTAATTGTTGTTATGTTTTTGTTTTTTTTTACTGTCAAGCCTTCTTTTTTCTGCAGGGGATCTGGGTAATGTGAACTCAACCAACAGTCCTCAAGTTGAGGAAGGGGACAGCCGCTTTCTGGCCAGTGAGGTCCTTCAAGAGGTAAAAATGTTAAAGGAAAAGTTGGCTTAGGTTCTCAGTTGGTTGCACCTCAGTGTAGGAATTGTTTCTAATGTTCATGTCTTTCTGCTGATCAGGATTACAGCCACCTGCCCAAGGCGGACATTTTTGCTCTTGGCCTCACCATTTTGCTGGCAGCCGGTGCTCCTCCACTCCCTCAAAATGGAACCGACTGGCACAGACTTAGAAACGGAGAGCTTCCGAAACTGCCAAAGGAGCCATCTGCTCCCTTCAGAGGCCTAATTCAGGTAGTTTAATTTCTAAGCTGATCTTATTGTTTATTTGAAAACTATAAATGCCATGAATAGTTACTATTTTTATATAGTGATTTAAAAAAAATAATATATATATTTTTTTTTCTGTCAGTTGTTGCTGGATCCAGACCTGTCAAAGCGGCCATCTGCCAAGGAGCTGTGCAAGCACCCATTCCTGAGAGAGGGGAGGACGGGAAAGGTGGCCGCTCGGCTACGCCAAGAGCTCAATGTAGAGAAGTTCAGGACAGCCATGCTTGAAAGGTAAGAAGCAAAACATTTTTGATAATTCTTGCATACCAGTTGAAAGCATTCACTTATTTCCGTTTTCTCCTTAGAGAGCTCCAGGAGGCTCGTCAGGCTGTATTGTCCCCCAAGCAGAACCTCCCTCCAGGGTTGAAACTCGCTGTAAAGGTGGGGCTCCCACCCAGAGCACAGAGGCTTATTGGCGGGAACGCGCCACGATCCATCAGCTTTGGCTGCACAGGTTATTGAATCTAATGGAAGGCCCACATGCCAGTCCGAAATTAGTCACTTTCAGCAACCAGGCTGTTGTAAAAGGAAACCATGTCTCTCGGATAAGGCAGGGTGACCCTCTCCCCAAACAGCAAAGACTTTATTGAGACTAATATAAATAAGTGGATGGACAGTTTTAACTCACATCTGGATATCATTGGTTTTAAAGGACTAATCAGACTGACTTAAACACTTCACAAAGTGATTTTCTGGCAGTTGAATTTTAATTGGTGCAATGTACTTTCTTTAGAACTGTAAATAAACATTTAAATCTTTTATCAGTTGGATTTCCTTTTTTGTTGTTGTTCTTATTGGATTGAGCTTTGTAACTCATAGTTGTGTATTCTGTAACCCAGACAAGTACATTTGGAAAGGCTGCTGGAAAAGCCACACAGGGAATTTCCTGTGGCTTTTTCTTTTGTTATCTAGACCTGCAGCCAACTGTATGACTGTATGTGAAACAGTGATTGGGTGACTTGGAATGTAGGCTGAGACCTACGTGAAAGGTTATTAATGTAATAAATACATGTTTTATGAATCACATGCATAATTTAGGCTTTTCACAACAGGTCACATCAACCGAAAGTGGCATGAATAGCAGTCAAATAATTTTCTATCAATTTGTTTTATGAAGTAAAAACTTAAGTCATTAGATACTCAAAGACAAAGATGCAATTGGAGGAAGATTTTTAAATGACACATGTTACTTTTCAGCTTTATACACAATGGGGCAAATGCAGTGGTGGAAAGTAACTATGTACGTTTACTCAAGTGCTGTAATTAAGTTCAGTCTTGAAGTAGTTGTACTTGAGTATTTTTACTTATTGCTTCTTTATACTTCTGCATGACTAAAAGTCAATATTGTACATTTCTCTACTACATTAATTTGAAATGTAGCTACTCTTCATAACATTTTACATAATGGACTAACTGCTTAAGGTACAAAAAAGTAGAATTATACAACATATATTATATATTTTTGTATAAAAACTTTTATCAATTAAAGTAAAATGCTACTTGATCCAACAATAGTATCAAATACATTTCGATATATATATAGCAATAAATCAAACATGGAGGAATTTTTTCAGTTTTACTTTGTAGTCTATACCTTAAGTACATTTTGCTCATAAAACGGTTTTAAGGTTAACGTTATCTGATTTAGCTGGGATTCTGTTTGGGACTATACAGATGGCTAAGTTGTGAGAACTAAAAAACAAAAATGTTTTCGCCTGTGCTTGAAGGCATCAGGAGTGTGATTGGTCAGCCTCCTCCCTCTCTCTGCCCCCCCTGCAGCATGTTCAGATTGATCCAGATCTGTTGTTGTGCGGCTCGCGCTCCACTGGCTGCTTGATGCTGCATGGCACATCCCTGTCGGCGCATCATAAGGCGATAAACTGTTACTTGTAAGAAGTAAAAAATCTGAAGTCCAAAGCCCAAGGAACGAATGTGAGTGAAAAAATCCATACTGTTGAAACTTATTTAGCAATCATTTCCAGTTTTACTTTTGTTTTGAGTCAACTTTCCGGCTCGAAAGTTGAAGTAAGCTAAGCGTTAGCTTATCTTGCTAGCTTACCCGGATACGGTTAACCCTGAAACAGTTCTGCAAATGCTACTTTAGCTTAGTTTCGGGTTTTTTCGCCCTGGGTCTGTAGTTGATACGGATACATTATATAGCTGTTTATATTGCTAATGTAACCCTAATCATGCTTGTCTAAATTAAACACAATCTAGAGAGGTTGTCGATGGATGAGCTGGGGGACCTGAACAGTGGGCAAAACGCTGCCCTGCTCATGTGGGTCTTCCTTCAATCGGACAGTAGCACCCCAGAGTTCAGTAAGGAGCTTCTCAGCCTCGGCAAGGAGTTGAATTTGTCCAGGGACATCAACTTTAATCAACCCTGTGAAGAAGATCTTGACGATGGAGACCTTGAAACTGACGGACACCTGCCCATCAGAGCTGCTCTACAGGATATTCTGCCTTCAGTGGAACTGCAGTGGCCCTGTGAGTAACTAAATCAGTCCTTTTAACATGTACTAAGTTCATAGGGAGTCACTCATACTAGCACTTGTACATCTTTGAAATCAGCTGTTTATCTCCATGGCTTGTTTTAGGATGATATTATTCTAAAGTATTATTAAGCATGTCCTTAATTTAAAGACAGTGTCAGGTGAACTCAACATTTTATTTTAACACAATTGTTAACCCATGTAATGTTGATGTTACCCTACCAGTGCATGACATTAAGGATTTTGGGAGATGGCCCTGTGGGCCATCTAAGCTAATTTACAGATGGCCCTGAGCCCAATAGAGATTGCCCTGAAAAATGCGCGCGGACAAAATGGCATGAAGGGTTTGGGGGGCCTCCCCCTAGAAATCTTTAGATTTTTGCAGGTCTTAGATCCTGTCTGGTGCATTCTCTAGACTGAATTATAAGATGAACCACCACAATATTATATTGCACAATTTAAATTGTATTCTTCATTTCACTTGTTTGTTTGTTCTTGTTTGTGTTAGCTCGCTTGCATGCCCTGCATAGCTATAAGAAATAGTTGTTGGTGAAGACACTTTCCATCTGATGAAGGCAAATGCCTTCCCAGATGTAAAAAAGTAGAAAACATAACATTCAGTTATAACTGCCAAAACAAACATTATTTACACTATTATGGCCCCTGTTAAAAATGTTTGTAATTGTATCTACTGTAAATTGGTCGAACGAATGCCTCCTCATCCGGAAGCTGACCGAGCAGACTCCGAGCAGCAGTCGAGAGGAGCCGAGCGCATCCGCGAAGCACACAAAATGGCGACGTCAGAGTTCCCGTTCGCCGGCAAATCTAAATCTCTCCGGTCAAAATAATTTCCCTTTAGCGCAATACCGCTTCAGTTGCGCCACTTATGTGACAGACAAGAAGAGTATGTTACAGACAAGAATAGTCAATTATAATGTCTAACACTTAATGTGGAGAAAGAGATGTGCTGTATGGGTTGATTGTGCGTTGGTAATGCCTCGGGGTTCCGGTGGGCATGTAAACAAATGCATAATGCTGCGCTATACTTTGTGGCCTCACCCGGTTGCATAGCGACACTTATTGTTTAGGTGTCTTTTAATAAGCAAGTAGTCATATCATTAGCTGGATCTGATCGATATGGATATAAACGGGAGTGAAGTCTAATCTGAAGGGAGAGAGAGATCAGCTGCTGCTGACGAGTCGACACGCAGCTCTGCATGATCACATGCAGCGGTGAGCGGACAAAACGCACACTTCAGGTTAAAATATCACACGTAGCTATTTTAATTACGTCTCAAACTACCTAAACTAGTTATAGATATGTTTAGTTTTACTGTCGGGTCACTCATTACTGGATCCGCGAGCTGCATAATACTGGCATAATAGATTGCCCGATCGGGCAACCAGTAGGTGAGGCTTCATTGCCCGAGCTAAATACTAGATGGCCCCGGGCCATCGGGCAGTCCTTAATGTCGAGCCCTGCCTACCTTATCAAAGTCAAAGTTACTGCCATTATTAGCAACAAAAGTGAAGAAACACATATCATGATCACTGAAGTGTACTGATGTTGATCTCGTCTTGTTTTCCTGCAGTGGGCAGGGCACAGGCAGCAGATTGTCAGCAGTTAGCAGAAGAGCTGAGGGAAATCGCCGACCAGCTTCAACAAAATGTTGTGAATCAGGCTACCCAGAACCTGAGCAGGAACATGTCCAACACCCCCTCTGAAGTGAGTGCTGTGAGCTCAGGACATGTTCATGTTGGACTGGATGTGTCTGTCAAAGATAATCCTTTATAATCTGACTCAAAATGTGGTGTTTTTTTACTTGTAAGATAATGATTATATATTGTTTAAAACGGTCCAGTTTACACTAGGAATGGAAGTAATGTGGTTTTAATTGTATGATATGTTACATGTAACTTGTATATTTTATATTATTATGTAATATTTGTTGTAGTTGCATAATGCATACTAGACTAGTACTAGGTGATTTCATATATGTGATCATGCATTTTAGTAACAAAAACAATTATGGAAAAAAGTGTTGAGTAGTATTTTCACTACATATCTAGCATAGCATATTTATTATCTACTTTCCCTGCATCAGAGAACTGTTTATCTATTTATCCTTGGGTGAAATTAGGTATTTGTATTTCCTCTAGTCTACATACACCGTATGCACCATACACCAACACAGATTTATTGTAAATTACTATTTACTTTGCTATAACACTATTCAGATTCAAAATGGTTTGCAGTTGCTCAACATCCCCAAAAACCTAAATTAATTTATACATTTAATAATCGATGTCCATGTGAAATCACCTACAGCAAGTGCAACGCTGCAAAATAAAATAATTGTATTGATTTCTGCTTAAATTGATTGACACCATTTTGCTGTTTACATCAAGATGTTTGCCACGTGCAAAATAAAAAACTTCAAAAGATTAAATACTGAGATATAAACACACTAGTAATAATAAGGTGCATAGAAGTGCGTTTGTTGTTGCTCGTTAAATGACCTAACGGTGTCGATCCTATTGTTCCTCTGTTTCCCAGCAGTGGACGGAGCACCTGAGCCGGGAGGTGCAGAGTGTGATGCAGAGCGTGGGTCTGCATCATCTCTCACGGGAGAGAGTCATGCTGGCCCTCACGCTCACCCTGGTGAAGGGGGTGTGTGCGCTGGCCCCTCAGCTGCTGAGAAGTCTGTTCGTCACCGCGCTGCAGTTCCTTAACCCCGCCAGGACTACCGAGGAAATGACTGAGAGACACACGGCGGAGGACAGCTGAACCTGAAACCAGCTGACTGTGAAAGGTGCTGAGTCGACCGTACAGTGAAAAACCACTTTTCAGAGGAAAGGGAAGTGACACTGAACTGTTTGAGTTTATGCTCATATTTGAAAACGGGAAATGATTTTTTATTTCTTAACTTTGTGCTTTAAGTCTTATTGTTTACAATTTAAACTTGCCAACATGACTTTATTTTTATACTTGAAATACATCATTATTGTTGTATTTGATTATTTAGCTTTTGGCATATACATGTATGGCTATTATTTAGTGTGATTTCATTAAATGTTTACATTCCCGTTATGAGTTTAATTTCAATCTAAAATTCTGTAAGATTGTATTTTGATATAAATAAATGTAATGATATGGCAATGGAAACGTTAAATCTACACAGATGAGCATTCAATCCAAACAACATATAGGCTTTCAAATGTTTTATTTTCATATCCGTGTATTGTAGGAAACTGAAGGTACAAAGTGTTGGACACCCATCCTGCTCTGCACTTTAACAGTTTCCCTTTGAAGCAGGCATTGTCTGAGTCCATCAGTATTACTAAGGTTACCACTGACTTACAGGGATACATCCTTTCATAGAAGATGGTATCTGTTGTGCACCATGTTTTTGCAGCCTTTTATAAGCTCTGATACAACTTACCATAATATCCCCAAAATCATGTGATACTGCACAACTCAATGACACGAGTTCTCAAAGTGCAAGATAACTCATTTACTCTACACAGACTATGGGGTGGGGTCCGGGGACATTCCCCTCTAACATTTCACATTTAGTTTAAAAACTCTCCTTAGCTGGTTGATATTATGGCAAAAACATCTTGTAACCCAAGAGGTTGAATTTGACTTCAAAAACAAATCTTTATCACAGCATTTATTTATGTAAATATAAAACCACAATGCTGGTTAGTGTTGTTGAAGGACCCCCTTTTTGTTTTAATACCTCATTTTCTACACAGGGAGGGTGTGGGAATGGTACATTCCCAACAGGAGCAATTGTGAATAAAAGTTGTGGCATAAGAGAGTTACATCATGAGCAGTAATAGTAAAGAACACTGAGGACTAAAAGGGCTCGGAGAAAGTAAAGATGGAGAGAAAATGTGTTTTTGGAAGTGTGGTAGCCCATTCAATCATGAAATCGATTTAAATGATTGGATGATGGAATCTGTACTACAGTGGCTGACATTTTCTTTTTTAGCGAATGCTAACAGAATGAGGTGCAGTTCACACGAGGACTGGGGTATCTTTAGAAAGTACTAGATGACCCCTTACTGTAGAAATACAATAACTAAGATTACTTGCTATTTCAAGTTTTTTTTTGGATCTTCACACTATATTCAAATTTGCATACCAATGATGGCAAAAGAATGACGGCGGAACAGGCTGGATTTATCAGTTACATACGTTCATCAATTCTAGGGCAAAAATGTTTAATGTTTGAATACACACAAATTAAAACCTGCTGTGAAGTCATACACATGCAGAATGTAAAGAGGAACAATAGTTGTAACCTAATGCGCCTGTTCTGTGTGTGAAACCGACAAGTAAAATCAAATAACTGGTTTCCTCCATAGGTCATGCATTTGTTATGTGTGAATGAGAGAAAGAATCATAATCAGACAATGGGGGGAGATATTAGTAAGTGCTGTTTTGTTGCATAGAAAGGGAGAAAGCCGGAAAACCTTTAGTCCCACAGAAAAACCGGAAATGTCAGTGGATTTTCAGTAGGTACACTGGCTCAAGTGGTTCCAAGGAAAGAGCCACAGACTAAACAGAAACAGAAACTAGCAGAAGAGGGATCAAAGTTCACAAACTTTCCAATCTGTGGCTATAAAAAGCTGGAGAATTTCAACACACAGTTGGAAGATAACCAAAAAGGAATAAAGAGAGACAAAAGAAATAGGAGAACAGTGGAGTGCATCGTTTCCTCCTGCTGTGTTTGTGGAGCAGGACTCCCAGTAGTACGGTTGCAGATGAGATGTTTTCTTTTGTTGCTGGGGGTCATTTTCACAGATTTTAAACCTTCAAAAAACCACTTGGCAAGAAGAGTCCCACCATGTGTGTACCAATACATTTATTTTTCCTTATCTTGTAATTTCATTCTCCTCCCCTGAGATGTACTACTTCCTCCTGAAGCTGATGAAGCTGTAGGCCACGGCAGCAGCGAGCACCAGCGCGGCGCCTCCGTACAGCAGCAGCGAGAGCTCTGCTTCTGGCTGCTCTGGGGTTTCCTCCACCGGGGCTTCTACAGGGGCCACTGCATCCTCCAGGACCAGGGGCTCAGCGGGCGGGGCCTCAATCTCTGTCTGGGGAGGCACTGCGACGGGCTCCGGCTCTGATTCTGCTAACGGGGTTTCCTTGGCTGGAGATGGGGGGGCCACCTCAGCAGGCAGTGGGGCAGCTTCTGGTTCTGGCTCAGGAACAGATGAAGGTGCTTCTGGCTCAGAGGGAGGGGGGGCTTCAGTGACGGGGGGAGGAAGATCAGGTTCTAAGGAGATGATGGAAGGCTCTGCGGACAAGCTTGCAGGTGTCTCTGTGACAACCGGCTCCTCTAATGAGAGCAGGGAGGCTGGGGCCGTGGAGTCACTGTCGGCCAACTCTGTGACGGGGGGGATCTGGCCCCTGAACTCTTCCCGGAGCTCGGCCATGTCGCTCTCCGTGCCCAGGATGCTCATCATGCTCTCGTCTATCGCTGCCACATCCCCGCCTTCCTCCAGCAGCTCGGCGTCCTCGCGCTCCACGTGGACAATGTCCGAGTTCGAAGAGTTGTTCTCACTGCGCTCCTCGGCCAGAGCCGCCGCGCCCTCGTTGCTGTCCAGGCTCTTCACATCTTCGGGGTCCATGGCGCTGACCTGTGCCCAGGACTCGTGGCCGGCCAGAGACGCGGGTAAGCTTTCCGTCTGCCACGAGCTCTGCCAGCTGCTGATCTCTCCGGTGCAGAGCAGCGAGGAGGGGGGGCTCAGATGGTCAGGGTGCTGGTCCCCGGTGAAGATGTAAATGTCGTTGATGTCTTCAGCGAGGATCACACCTCGCTCGTCCTCTGACTCGAGGCTGAATACTTCACCCTGGGATAGACAGAGAGGATGTCAACATAATATTTTTTTTAAAGAATTTTGAGTAATAGATGGAAAAGTGAAATGTGATAATCTGTATAATGCAACATGGCAGAGGATTTTTTTCACCATGATGCTACTTTCGAATCATAAACTAAGTCAAACTAAAGTCACTTTTCAACTGACACTGCTTTATAGCTTAAGTTACCCTTGTATGCCACCTAGTGGATTGCAGATATGTATCAGCAATACATCTGGAGCCCTCTGTAAAGCTCTGCCATTATATAACATCCATAATCATATGATCATTCGACTTACTGAAGCAAAATATATTAAAAGGAATCAAACGGTAGAAGTAAATACAGGTTTGACTTTGAAGGTCAAAAACAGTTTTTATCAAGTCAGAATATTACCTAAAAGATATTGTAGCATGAGAATGACCGTACCAGACATATCTTTCCACTTTGCTGAGTGTGCAGAGACGTGATGCAGAATTGACAGTATGTAGGCCAGCGAGTGTTTACAATGAGAGCAGGATGCACGCTCACTGGAGGGCATATGTGTGAACACACTGAGTGAATAAAGATGTTAAGAAAGACATGTGTGAATGGCAGTTTGCTAAACTCGATTGTATCCTCTCATTGTCCAGCAACACCGCCCACACACAGCCCTGCGAGGCCAGGTTTAAACCGGTCCTCATTTTGGACTTTGGCACGTTAACATGTCTCCTCTTACATCACAAAAGGGCAGCCCATGTTATGTCAGAACAATCTGATAAAACGCACTGCACACAAATCATGACTTTTTTTAATCCAGCTATCCTACTTAATGCTACACCAACAAGGAGTCATGCTAGCAGCTTTGTGAGGATGTACTCTAGCCCAGTTGAGCTAAATGCTAACTTCGGCATGCTAACATGCTCAAAGTGACATTGAAAACAGCAGCTATAATATTTAACATTTTAGCATGCTAACATTTGCTTTTCTAAACACAAACAATAGCTACTGTAAGGCTTAAGGGAATAACATTAGTTTAACTTGTGTATTTGGTAAAAAAAGTATTGGATGCAATAAATCATTGATCTGATGATGGCACGGCATAAAAGGTAATCACCAAAAGGTTAGTTTATCTTATGAACGAATTTCACAAATATCCTTCCAATACACAGACAACAAAAAAATTAATTATCTGGTTTAACAGGAAAGAAACTGGGTTGAAACTACATTTTGGATCGGTCGTAAGCAAGCTTCTCTGTTGCATGTCACATAAGGTGTGACATGACTGGTCAAGACTCAAACAGAGGAGGGCGTAAAGGCGTGTGGGTGGGTGCTGCAAGACAGAAAGGTTCTGACAGCAGACAAGGCTACAATGTCTCATCTGAGAATGTGAGGGGGTTATTATGTTCCTGTCCCAATCTGCATGTGATCCACACAACGTTTAACTTCCAAGAAAGCACACAGAATGCAAACCATTATTGACGTATGCCAGTGGTTCTCAAACTTTTTCTGTCATTTGAACAGGTGGGCCTTTTCAAGCCCCACCTGTTCCTCATCGCTCCAATAAAATGGTAGGCCAAGCTTAAAATTGTCAAATGTATCGTTCTATAAGAGGGGTCTCCAACCTTTTTTAGGGTGAGAGCTACTTTTGCTCCTCTTTTTTTGTTTTTTTGCACTGTATATATTTAGCATATTTGAACATTATTATATGCTTACCTTTAACCTTCGTGTGCTGTTTGGGTCTGTGGGACCCTTTTTCAATGTTTACT